AGCTAATCATAAATCACAACATGAACAGAAACAACCTTCAGTCATTCCCAAGCATGTGGCATACTAAGACAGTTGCTTCCAAGGACAGATTTCATGTGAGGAAGTAGATGCAATTAATTAGTTTGAACTAGTCACAGCTGGGACAAAGATGTCAGAATACAAGCAATTCATTTTATGTTGCATCATTAAATATTTTGCAGTAGCGGCATGATTTTAACCTCCTTTTTCAAGGCCACAGAAAATGGCATGCGGTTTGCAATACCATCGGAGTTAGCTGTGCAACACAATCCTGCTGTGTGCAGGGGAAAGAGATTCATTGAAATTGCCATCCCTGCTTGCTCCTTTGCAAACACTGCTGTGGGGCTGCCAGATGCTTTTCAGAGTTCAACAAGAAATAAAAGCAGTGGATAAACACTGTGTAATAGAAATACATTAAAACCTCTTTTTGACAGAACTTGAAAGGCCTTGTCCAGCTCTCTCAAGGAGTGGGAGAGGATAAACTGCTCTGTGTGCCATTATGAATGTAGGACTTAGATTCCCTCTGGAGTTTTGTTATTGCGGGAGACAGCAATAAAAACCAAGGCTTTTCTTTCCCCTGGCATCCTCATACTGTATGTGTGTGTGTGTGTTTTAGATTCCCTCTGGAGTTTTGTTATTGCGGGGGACAGCAATAAAAATCAAGGCTTTTCTTTCCCCTGGCGTCCTCATGTGTGTGTGTGTGTGTGTTTTCCTCCTTTCCTTTTGCTTGTTGGAAAGATGCCTACGGGCTAGTCCATTAATGGAAGACGAGTGCATTGGTTCAACTCGTTCTAAAATTTCCGCAACAGCTTACATGAATACTGGGCATTTGTGCACCAGAGAATCTGGGAGCATCATTGCCAACAGCAAAAGTCCCCACCCCTTGCAGAAATATGTCAGTACACAAAAGAGAGCATTAATAAATAACGAAACACTTGAGGTTACTTGTGGAAACCAAATGGCCTACTGAATAAGACATCTGAAAGTGTTCTGTGTTACAGAATTGTGGTAGTAACACTGGTCTCCTTAGAATGGAAAGAAATGCAAATGGCTACAATCTGGAGGAGCTACTCAGCATCCCAATCGTGTGGCATCATTCCATAATGACACATACACTCAATCCTTATACTAGTGTAACAATGTTTCAGTGAAGTTTCGTATACTTAGCTGAGTGATGAAACAAAGGATTGAATAATATACCAAAAAAAAAAAGAAAAGAAAGAAAGGGGGGGAGCTAATCTACGTAGCAATTAAACTCCCCCACTTTGCCTACAGCTTTGAGAAACAGCTGGTGGAGCAGCTGTATGGGAAGATATAGCGTGCCATGATCTCAGTCTGATTCTTTCATAGCACCTTAGTGGCTGGACTGTCCATGGGCTTGGGCTTTATTTGGGGGTTCAGCTGTCACTTGCCTTCCACTCCATGATCACTTCTGATTCCCCCTTTCCTCAATTAAAATTACTGACACTCTGTTTAAAAACTGAATGGGATGCAATGTTCTGTTGTGGTTGTTGCTCTGCCACAGAACTGAATAGCAGCTCCTTGCTCCACAATTGCACAGACATCCTGATTTGGTCCATTTCTGCACGTTTGTTCAAAGACATGCCTAGTTTACATAATAAAAATGTGTTTGTGTGTGTGTCATAATGTAATCTACAAGGATTCTTCTAAGATATAGTCTGCTTTTAAATATGGTAATTTATATGAAGAGATGGTGTGGAAACCTCACGTGTGTAAAATGGCCCATCCTCCAAAGGACAGCGAGGGGACACCATACAGGAGCTTTTGTCTGAGGAAGCAAATCTAGGGTATATAGCATAGAACAGTAGAATAATTTTATCAGTTATTTTCAATCAGAGGCTGAAATTTTGTGCAACATACTTGGCTTAAGGCTGACATTATCATTCTTAATGCACCAACACATCTGGCAATAAGGTTTATTCAGTGGCTGATTTCCTCTGGTAGTTAGTAATCAACATATTGATAAAATATGGAGACATTCTTTTTCTTCTTTGCAAAACGAACAGTCTAGGAGACATTTCCAAGACTTTTCTAAAAACATTATCTGAAAATATGGCCAGAAAGACTAATCTCTGAGCCATCACCGCTAACCCCCTTCTTTTCATCACCTTCCTTTTATGAATCAAAACAAATTCATCCATATTGAAGAATGGGAGCCTGGGAATTCACATTATTTAAAAGATCTGCACTTAGGTTTGAATCCATTTTTGGCTTTATCCAATCCTGACTTCCACCAAACAATTCATTTTTCCATCTGACCCTTCAGTTCTATTCCAGATACAGTGGTGCCTCGCTAGACAGTTACCCTGCATGACAGTTTTTTCGCTAGACATTGACTTTTTGCGATCGCTATAGTGATTCGCAAAACAGTGATTCCTATGGGGGAATTTCGCTGGACAATGTTTGGTCCCTGCTTCCCAAACTGATTTTCGCTAGACGACGATTTTGACAGCTTCCTCCATGCTCGCAAAACAGGTGTTTTGGGGACCTAAGCTTCGCAAGACAGCGATTTAAACAGCTGATCGGCGGTTCGCAAAGCGGCTTTCCTATGGCTGATCTTCACTAGACAACGACGATTCTTCCCCATTGGAACACGGTTTCAATGCATTCCAATGGGGAAATGCTTTTCGCTAGACAATGATTTCGCTAAACAGCGATTTCAGTGGAACGGATTATCATCGTCTAGTGAGGCACCACTGTAATTCATCCTCTCTCCTCCTTTGAATTACTTTAAAATTGAAAATTTATATACTTTTCTCATAATGCCATGAGCGCAAAATTTGTTTGGGAAATGGTTCATAGAATCCTAGAATCACAGGGTTGGAAGGGGCCTGTAAGTTTCATCAAGTCCAGCCCCCTGCTTGACGCAGAAATCCAAATCAAAGTACCTCAGCCAGATGGTTGTCTAATTTTCTCTTGAATGCCTCAAGGATTAGCACACTCACCACCACCTAAGGTAAATGGCTCCACTGTCATACTGCTCTAACAGTTATAAAGTTTGTCCTGACATTCAGCTGAAATCTGGCTTCCTGCAACTTGAGTCCATTATTACATGTTCTGCAATCTGGGATGAAGTAGAATAGATCCTGCCCCTCTATGATAGTCTCTCAAATATTTGAAGAGTGCTATGATATCTCCCCTGTCTCCTTTTTTCAAAGCATGAACATGCACAATTCTTTAATTTTTTTCTTATAAGACTTGATTTCCAGTCCCCTAATCATCCTTGTTGTTCTCTGAACAAAACAAAAAATAAACAGTTTGGAGCCAAGGGGTGTTTGGTTCAAGGAATCTGACAACTTTGTGAGTGTAACTTTGCTTTGGAGCAGGCAACATTGTCAGAAAGAACAAAACTGATGTCAAACTGATTGCAACAAATTTAAACCATCTCTGCCAGGTGAACAAATAAAGATGATTGCTCAGTCAACAAAGATGATTCCACAATAGGCTTCCCTGCATTCACCTTTACATCCTGTAGTCACCAGTCTTTAATCTGAATTCATCTGTGCCCAATCTAATGTAAATTGTGAGGTAAACAGCCAATGTACTTGTCTTCAGAGTGAACTACTGAAAGGACAAAGTACTGAAGGAGGAAGGTGATGGCTTCCTTTTCTCTGATGAAGATTCTATGTTCTGGTTTAAATTTATGTGTCCCCCCCCCACAACATCCTGCCACTGTTCCTCCAAGGAGCTTGGGCCAATATATGTGGTCCCTTCATAAATGTTATTTTCACAATGTTTTGAGTTCAGTTAAGCTGAAAGCTCTTGAGCCCAGATCCTACTGAACTCTATTCAGACTTCATAGATTCTTTTAAGATAAACAGTCTCTTCTGTGACAGGGGTCGGAAAATTGTAGGCATATAAGACAGACAAAGGACATTATAGCAAAATACAGATGGTTAATTGTGGCGGACAGCCCTCACGTCATTCCTGTCAGTCATTTTAGAGCTCTAGTGCAGGAGCCTATGACAGGACAGGAGGGGCAGAGTCAACAAAACTGGGAGAGACAGAGAGGGAGTTAGGGAAAAGATTGTGAAGTGTTTAGACAAGAGATGTGTTAGAGAATGACAGTCAGAATATATTGAGACCTTGATTAAAGTGAATTAATAAATGCAAGTTTACATGTAATCAAATCCACATTTATTGAATGAATAATAAAAGAACATCCATGATTTTTCTTCCGTGATTTACCTTCGTTTGTTTAGTTGTTTAGTCGTGTCCGACTCTTCGTGACCCCATGGACCAGAGCATGCCAGGCCCTCCTATCTTCCACTGCCTCCCGTAGTTGTGTCAGATTCATGTTGGTTGCTTCACATTGACCAGCCATCTCATCCTCTGTCGTCCCCTTCTCTTCTTGCCGTCACACTTTCCTAACATCAAGGTCTTTTCCAAGGAGTCTTCTCTTCTCATGAGATGGCCAAAGTACTGGAGCCTCAGCTTGAGGATCTGTCCTTCCAGTGAGCACTCAGGGTTGATCTCTTTTAGAATTGATAGGTTTGCTCTCCTTGCAGTCCAGGGTATTTTCAAGAGCCTCCTCCAGCACCACGATTCAAAGGCAGCAATTCTTCGGCGGTCTGCTTTTTTTATGGTCCAGCTCTCACTTCCATACATCACGACAGGAAAAACCATAGCTTTGACTATGTGGACTTTTGTTGGTAAGGTGAGGTCTCTGCTTTTTAAGATGTTCTCAAGGTTTGTCATTGCTTTCCTCCGAAGAAGCAGGTCTCTATTAATTTCGTGGCTGCTGTCTCCATTTGCAGTGATCATGGAGCCCAAGAAAATAAAATCTGTCACTGCCTCCATATCTTCCCCTTCTATTTCCCAGGAGGTGATGGGGCCAGTGGCCATGATCTTAGTTTTTTTGATGTTGAGTTTCAGGCCGTTTTTTGCGCTCTCCTTTTTCACCCTCATTACAAGGTTCTTTAATTCCTCCTGACTTTCTGCCATCAGAGTGGTATCATCTGCATATTGGAGGTTGTTGATATTTCTTCTGGCAATCTTAATTCCGGTTTGGGATTCCTCAACCTGATTTACCTACCTAACCATAAATAAACTTTAACAATAGTCTGAGCTTCATAATTGGTACGGTGAGGGTAATACCCTCTGGTGGCAGCGGAAAAGGATGAAAAGAACAAGTTGTGTCCGAAGGTGAACCTGTGAGTGGGAAAACAAACCGGAGACACTGGGGGTGCGCCACATTAATCATGTAAGTTTTATTCAAGAAAAAAGTTTTTTGGGCTTCAACAATTTTGTTTTCAGTGCTCTAGATTACAGAAGTAATGCCTCTGAGAATAAATGTTGGAACATTATACAGTAAATCAAAATTACAGAGGATGGGAAGGCACTATTGGTGTTAGCACCAAAGTCAAGCAAGTTTAAACTATTTTCCAACTTCCTTTTGGACATTGTCTTTGTCAGCACCACTGGTGTCTTGTGGAATCCCTGAAAATCGAACCAATAACATGCTCCTGAAGGCTTGCTGGCATATAGCAGTATTCTTCATCCTGGCCTCTTTTTGATGTATTGGATAATTCCCAGCAAGCCAATGGCCATGCTGGATGTGGATGATGTAACTTATAGTTCAACACCTCAGAAGGTGCGAAGTTGGGGAAGGCTGCTTGTACGGGCATTGCACAACATGTAAGAAAAACAGACAAGCTCATGAGTTAGAAAATGATGTACTGTGGGAAACAAGAGGAGAAAGCTAGAGGCCAAGAAAAAAAAATCAAGACACTTTAATGGAGGCATATGTAATATCTGTGCTGCAGATATTCAAAAGGCAAGATCAGCTTGTGAGATAACAGAAGCTTAATTCTGCAAGGCAGGACATTCAGTCCCTGAATCACCTTCCCCCCCTCCCAAGAGAGACTTTCCTCACTTCATGGCATTATTTTTTCTGCAGTAGATTAATTTTTTCAGATGTTTACCAGACACATTTTAATTTAGGATATTTGCAATAGTTATTAAAAATAGAAGTGAAAATGAAGCACTCTTACTAGAGATATCTGAAACCACTGAAATACTATTTTACCTAGTGGAACAGAAGGATATAAATACAAATCCACCAATTTCTCCTGTATCTTTTGCACCAAGTCAGGTGCAAAAGATACAGGAGAATGGCAGTCTCACAATGTAATTTCTTTGACACATCTCATATACTTATTAACTGAACCATAGAGAGGATCCAGTATATTTAACAATGGGATGAAGAAAGAGTGAAATATAAGGAAGTGGTGGTGGGTCAAGGTACTTGAATGACCAGAAAGTAAATCTCAGGACTGCAAGAGGTTGGCAAAGACTCCAAATTGTTAAATTCTATATGCATAACTTTTCCACCAGGTTGTAGTCAGCGGATATCATTGCTGCAATGGTGTGTATGTGTGCGTGTTTCACAAGCCTAAAGTCTGTCTACCTGGAATGTATATTGTATTTTCCAGTTTTCTCTTTCATTTTAGGCAGTTTGATCAGGGCCATGAAGAAAACATCCTGAGGCTAGTTAGCATTGTTAGATGAGGAAGTCTGTATTTTTAGGTGAGACCCTCAAGGCAGCATTAAAAAATATGGCATGATAAAAGACAGCATTGTGAGAAGTGATCCCTCATTCTCAGAGACAGTATACATGTCTGTGTATGCAGTGCACTGCAATCTGATGACAGAGTGGCATTGTTGTATATACTGTGCTGTGTTTCAGTTTAGACTAGACCAGACAAAAATGTCTGAACAGAAAACTTAAATTTCATGCAGTGGAATTACAGCTTGCTGCTCTGAGAATGCAGGTGGGCTGACCACTCCTGCAGAGGAGGACTACCCAAAGCTACAAGCTTCTCCAGAAAGGAGCTAGGCTGTAGTCTTGGTACATCGGGGTTAGCTTTAGCATACTTCTGCAGTTTGGCTAGAACTCTAGGCAACCCAACCTCAGAAGCATAGAACATGGGCCCACCCCTGTGCCTGGGCCAGCCATAACCATTGATATAGATGGTATCAATAGCTTCTGGAGAAGATGCTATTCCGTCAGACAATATACGGAAACCCTCATTGGCAAGGGAATACAGGCAACGCTCCAGTATCTCATCATGGGTGACAGTGCGTGCTGTAATGTTGTGAGTACATCTATAATCAGAAAGAAAGCTATGCACCCATGGATCTGACTGTGCTACTCTTCCCCCAGGTTTATCATATTGGTACCATCCCTTTCCAGTTTTTTGGCCAAATCTTCCTTTCTCACACAGAATATCAGGGATTGGGCAGTATCGTTTGCCATCTCGGTAAAGAGGTGTGCCAGGAGGTAGAGTGGTTCCTGTCAATCCTTGCTCTTTCCTAGATCTCCAGCCCACATCAAGTCCTGCAAGATCTGATACACGGAAAGGACCCATTTTGAAACCAAATTCCTCCAGAGCTTTGTCTATTTCCTCTGGAGTACTGCCATCCTCTAGGAGGAAATATGTTTGTTCAATATAAGGATTCAGCATTCGATTACCAACAAATCCATGGCAATTCCCAACTACCACCCCAATTTTGCCCATAGCTTTGGCCAAGCTCATGGCTGTAGCAACAGCAGTGGGGGATGTTTTCTGACCATAGATGACCTCTAGTAGCTTCATCATGTGAGCTGGTGAGAAGAAATGGGTGCCAATGACTTGGAGAGGGCGGTCAGTGACAGAGGCAATCTCATCAATATCTAGGTAAGATGTGTTAGAGCTAAGAAGGGCTTCAGGTTTGCATACGACTGACAACTTGCGGAATATTTCCTTCTTGAGAGCCATATCCTCAAATACAGCCTCAATAACTAGATCCACATCTTTCAGTGCACCAAAATCCAGAGTGAAGTGGAGCTGGTCAGGTTTAAAGATATTTGGATTTTGGTAATTCTGTCGCATTTTTAAAGCTTCACGATCTAAGACAGAGACGATAGCTTCTCTGGCCACCTCCAGCTGCTTTTTATCTTGCTCCAGAGCCACGACAGGAATTCCAGCCTTCAGCAGAGAAACCACAATGCCTCGTCCCATTGTCCCCAATCCTTGGGATTAAAAAGAAGAGAAGGTAAAGAGAAGGAATCATTAGAAATATTCTCCTAAGAATTAACAAAGTGAGACTTAATCTGGTATTCTTTTAAGTTACAGTACAGGTATCTGGGCTAATAAAATACTGTCTCAATGTGGAAACCATGCTACAAAACATCAGTAACAGTTAATTAATTTTTCGGTTCTTAAAAAGTAAAGCAACAATTAAAGAGTTAAAGATAGAAGGCAATATTTGTGCTCAGTATTTGGTTTAAAAAGGATTTTTGGGTATAAAAATGTTGGATAAGTTTCATGGACAGGGCTATTTAATAACAATAATACTAAGTTTTATACAGCACTTCAGGATGTTCAAAGCACTTCACATGTTTACAACAATCCTTAACGATAGATAGACGGTATTATAGCTCTACCTGCAGAAGGGTGAGGGAAAAAGGACAGAAAAGATGCTTCCAGATGAGGCTTGCATAGTTCAGCCACTGCAGTCTTTCACAGAAATGTAGAAGAGTCCAGGCATCACCATCTTCCATTTGTAATCTGTTTCCCCACAACTTTTTTCCATTGCATTTCTTACCAAATATCCATCACAGAGGAAAAGGCAGAATAGCTGCCCAATGACTTTTGATTAGAAGCACTAGTAGCTGTCCATCTAGAAGCCCCCTTAAATAAGTTCATGACTGTGGGGAGATTATGGCCAGAAATGTCTTGACCTATGTATGTCACAACAGTTCTCACAAAGAAACCTACTCACATGATGTTCACTGTGAAATCAAAATTGCTGACCTGGTCTTTTAAAATTTTTGAATAAGCTTAAGCAGGCAGTAGGAACAATAATAAGGGAAGAGGCTCCACCAGCTGAATAATTGTTTCCTTAAGTGAAAACTTCTAATCCAAACTCTGAAGTATGCTATAAAAGATGAACCTTGGTTAACTTTATGGAGCAGTTACAGTAACTTGAAGTTCTACATTTCTAAGATTTGCTTAGGAATCTTAGTTGAAAGCCAAGCTAACATGACAAATCTTAGTTTATTGTGTTGGATCAGAACAGCCAGAAACCACAACAGAAAATGTATGTAGTATTTTTCCCTTTGTGCATGGGGAAAGGAGATTATGTACACACTTAATGCTTATGGAGGTACATCATAGTTTACCATGTTATCCAAGGGTAATCTAATAGAGGTTATGCTAGAATGGGAACTGAAACTCACCGCAGTAGAGCAGCCTTTTTGTATGCTTAACCATCTCCCTTATCTTAAAGTGTAGAGGTTATCACCATGGGGATTAAGCATGCTATGCATATTTATTGGCTTTTCTTAGTTCTGGAAATATGGCTTCTAATTAACTATGATTAGAAACTGGCCAATACTGCCAGTGAGCTTCTTGCTCAGGCTTCAAGGCCCTGGCTGATAACACACTGTTCTCTCTCAATAAAGTAGCTTTCTAGGCTAGCTGATTAGATGCTCTATTTTTAATTTTTTATTCAGACAGCTCCCTACTTCATGCCCTAGGTCCAGCCACTTAAAGGGGTTTAGACTAAACTCTCTTTATACTGCAGGGGCCAAAATACTGTGCTGGTTTGTATGAACCTGCAGTGCCACGCATTCTCTTCTCCCACCTCTTCGGCTGGATCCCCCACTCACCAGCTAGCATACATTCCTCTCCTCCTCTTCTTTGGCTGTTTCACCAGTCTCTGGCAGGAGCACAGTCTTCCCTGCCCTGCCTCCTTGTCTGTTTGCCCACTCAGATAAGGAGGCAAGACAGGCAACCCTGTGCTCCTGCTGGGGACTGGTCAAACAGCTGAAAAGGAAGAAGAGAGGAGCAAACACCAGCTGGTTGGTCACTAGCTGGGGAGGTGGGGAAAAGGAATGAGGTCTGTGCCTATCCTTATTTAGAACCAGAGTCTTTTTATCAGTATATGAGGTTTGCTAAAGGGTTCAGAACTATGTGATAAAATAGTTACAGAATTTATAATTCTATAAAAAAATCCAGAGCACTAATCAGGATTAAGAGTGAAAAAATGTGCTTTTTTTTAAAAAAAAGAAAAATCAAAGAAACATAAATAATTGAGATTTTTTAAAAAAACCTAAGGCAGCTTTAAGAAAAAGAGTTGAAATTATGCTGTTAGTAAAACAAGATTAATTTCTAATAACAGAGCTCAACCCAGGCAGCAAAATTGCTATTCCTCCAAGCAGTCCATTTTACTTTGGGCTTAGTTCACACTTGGAAGTATTGTTTCACACAGGGAGTACTTCTTTAAGAGCAGCAGCTATGTGAATAATTCAAAGAATACATTCAGCATAGATTAAATTTGGACCTAGCTGTTGCTCCATCTTAGTTTTGACATTGTCCTCCAGAATGAAACCTATCACTGAATGAAAATATAATTCAAAATGAGTCTACAAAATCAAAGACAGTACTCAAAACACAATGCATAGGAATTTACTTGCCTCTGTTCCAAATGGACCTTTGATAGTTTTTATTGAAATGAATGTGGTTTAAAATCCTTCCTTCATTCCTCAAAGAAGCCTTTTTCCTTCCAAATCCTCTCATGTGGTTTATACATCTCCATTTCCTGGTGCCACTACCTTCTGCTTGTGTGTAAAAAAATAGCCTAATTGCTCTGACACCATTTGACTTGTATCCTCGTCTTGCAGCCTTGTTCTTAGGTTACAGTCTCAAACGGCACAGAGCAGCCAAGCGGGGAGAATTTGAAAAGTATCAAGGCAGAGAAATAACCAAACATCCCCCAATGCAGCAATCGGTGCTCTTCATGACAAATACATTTTTTTAAAACTACAAGCAATTTTATTTAAGTTCATCCACATTATATCTTAGGGATTTCCACACTGGCATATAGATATGATATGGATCATGAATGGCAGAGTTGGAATCCGAAAAAAAAAGACCTCATCCACAAGTGTTTCTATTTAGAGCAATCCATAAGAGCTGTCATGCACCTTTCTAGCCCAGTGGTAGGGAATGCATTCTTTTTTGCATGCTCCTTGTTTGGCTGGAAGATAGCAGTCTCCAGCAGCCTCTGCCATCTCATCTGCAGATTCCAAGCAGGAGAGAGTGGGACCAGGCAGAAGGAGGAAAAGGAAGCAGGGATGAAGGGAGAAAGTAGCACTGACACAAGGAGAGATGAGTAAAAATAATTCACTTCCCCAGATCCTCTGCAGATTATCAGGGGAAGTGCTTAACTGACAGCTGATTGGGCTATATAGGGTCGTTTGCTGTTTGAATGGAAGGAGCATGCCAAATAGCACATCATTCCTCCTCGCAACCTCAATAGACCCTTTGTACCTGATCCTCCCTACACCTAAAACAGCCAGTCTGGACAGGCCCCAAATTGACTTTTGATGAGGCGGGATAAGGACTCTTTTCATGCTAAGGTGAATCTCCAAGAGAGGACAGACTTTACGCATGTCTATTTAGTACCCCAAGAGCCTTCCAAAGGATTGTCATAACATATTCAAGCACAATCTAAGTCATAATTTAGAGTTTAAGAGGGACCTTTAAGCAAGCAAGCAAACAAGCAAACAAGCAAGCAAGCAAGCAAGCAAGCAAGCAAGCAAGCAAGCAAGCAAGCAAGCAAGCAAGCAAGCAAGCAAGCAAGCAAGCACAACATATTTTGGGGGTAGAAGTGCTATGGATCCCAAGTTTCACATAGCTTGGACGAGCCACAAGCATGTTTTAGTTCTCCTTTGGAGATGATCTGCACACACAAATACCAATCTACAGATCACAGACTCTGTCTAATTTAGACATAAGCACTGCTAATTTAGACATAAGCACTGGGAGTTCAAGATCCCTGGAGAAAGGCTGCAAATCACCCAGAGAGTTATCTTTTGCCCATCTTTAATCTAGGCTTCCTACAAAAGGGCTGAGAAAACCAATACCAATTAATGCAAAACACAGAGATTCAAACTGTAGGCCAAACGCTGGCTCCAGTATGAACCATATTTTTAAATTAAGCACTAGCCTTACAACAAAGCCAGTGAGAGGCAGATTTGAATCACATTTCATTTTGAACACCATGCATTTTTATAAATCCAGTCTCACTAGATTCACTAGCTACTGCTGTCCTTAAATATTCTTTATATAGCACAAAGCATGGTCTAAATCTACTTGTTAGGTAGCTGAGCTTTAGAAATGCTCGAGCAGCAATCAATCATGCAAAATTTATTCTCGCCATGCCTTAAAAGCATTACTGGTTCCATCTGCTTGAAGCAACTGAGCAAGTTCATAGCAATGCACAATGACCCATGTGTAATTCATTGAAAAACCTGTTATAGAAAATTCAGTAGGCTTCAAATATACTAAAATACACTCAAATAGTAAAATGTTCACTTAAAAGTGTTATTTCAATTTTTTTTAAATTCTGTGAAGTATATCCAACTAAGGTTTCACCATTAAGGAACAGATGCTGGTAGACACTTTTGTTTCTACTATGTACTTTATAGGGTTACTGTTGGCTTCGAAGATCATTCTGTGTTGGGTAAACTAGTCCTGCTTCATTCCATAATTGAGAAATAATATATCTGGTTTGATCTGTATCTCCGTAAGAGACAGTGTTTCTGCATATTCACCATTCATCTAGCAGCAAGCCTGTCAGTTGTGATTTTCCATTAAATTCAGAATGGAGACCCTTCCCCATCAAAGCCTGTGCAATACTGCAGTCCAGGCAGACACACGTTAGTCTGCATATTCAACAACAAATATATTCCCCATGTGCTGAGCCTCAGGCTTTATGCTGCTTTACATCAATGTCAATTCTCCAATGAATGAGTTCATGAGTTAAAGGTTCAAGCTTGTTGGCAGATTTAACTTACTACCCAAAGATCTGTGCACTCAAGGGGTATGAATCATGCAGAGAACAATAATTAAGACTGCACAGTGGAAGAGGGAAAGGGACATACAATGGAGACACACCCCTCTGGGCTGCCTTATGCTGAAGTGAGCTTGCAGAGAGCTTTGGCTGCACACACAAAGCGCATCTTGTATATAGCTACTGCGTGGTGTGGTGGTGAAATGTGAAACTGGCACTGTTTTAAAAATCAAAGGGACATTGCTGCTAAGGGCCGGGCTGCTTGGAGAACGTTTTCCCACTGAGTATATCCCAATCAATATGCAGAAGAGCAGAAGGCTGTTGAGAAATCTGTGTAGTGCATCAAAGAGTTTTATTTCAACTGCCTTGATAAAAAATTAATGAAGGCATTATTTTCCACAGGGTGGGTGAGGAGGAAATGGAAGACTGCAAAATGAGAAGAGTGGATTGTCCCAATGAAATGAAAGCTTCTTAAAAGGCAGCTGTCAACATAGCAAGTTTGAGATTAATACAGTATATCCTTGAATGCATGCTTGACATCCAGTACACAGTCTCTCTCAATTGAAGAAGGATGTCTGGAAACCTCTTTAATAAATATCCAGACGGTAAGGAGAGCAATGAAAAGACAAGCCCAGCTCCTGCACCTTTACTCTGGTGTAGGTGAGGTGTAAGTCATCTTAGCAAGGCAGGTGCTGTTTCCTCCTTTTTGGTATCTCTAGCTGCTTTTCTAGAAACATTATGCTGTGAAATCCATGCTGTGAATCAAAGCCTTTGGTTTGTCAAGATCTTCCTGAGCTGCAGGAGAAGACAACTACTCAGATGATGATGCATTGACCTCTGCTGCCTGAATTTACCAATCATTTATCATAAAGGTGGAAATGATTTAATGAATTACTTGCAGCCTTTTCTGCCCATTATATTTGGAAATTGAAAATGGGATGTATTGAACTACTTGAAATAAGAAATAGCAGTCTAAAGTAAGGTGACCAGATTCAAGGAAGTGCCAGCCAGCAGTGAGAAAGGAAGGCAAGACTGAACTGATGGGAGCGCTGGAAGCAAGAAGATTCCCAACTTCCTCCAACCATCCCTGGGAAAGAGGACAATAATTTATGGTTTTCCTCATAATTTGTAAGAAAGTCTGAGGTTAGGCAATAAAGTTTCAAATAATGCAAGCTGTCACATTCTTCAGAATACCTCATCAGGCAAAGATGGTATAAAACCTGGGGTTAAGCAAAAGAGTTCAAACATAATGTTCAAACATCAGGCCAGAGATGCTGCCATGACTCATGAAGCCAGACAGTCAATAATGTAAAATGAAGTTTATATTCTACGTGAGACAAAAGTAACAGAGGTATAAATTAATAGTTTCAGTTGCAGAGTTTAGAATTGCTGGTACATTTCTCCTTTTGCTACACAGTAGATGTACAGAGATCCATATGGGAGAATAGCTACAAGTTCCCCGAAGTCTACTCCTCTCTCATTAAATGGCATTTACGTAAAGTCTCACTAACTCACTCTGAGACATTTGTAGGAGAAAGAATAATTTTTTCCTTACTTACAGGTGGATGAAATTACAGGCAACTGGCAGATTGGCGAAGTGAACCTTTTGTCTGCAGCTGGCAGGACTTGTGTACTTTTATCACCCGTCTCATGTGCAATCTGAATTCCATCTTGTTTCATTGGTTGTCCAGTTTCATGAGCCCAGATTTGCACTATTATCATTAATCCCAAATTTTATGCCATGGCTAGCTAGCACTGAGCCTGACGGAGAGTTCTGAGAAATGTGAAAGGTCATCTTATTTGTAACTTTTTGGCGATCCAATGCAATTATTGCCTGACTTTGGACCCTGCTGCTATAAAGAGATCACAAAAACATGCCTGCATTTACTCATGAGCCTGTGCTGCCTGTGTGGCTGCATTCCAGAGCCCAAGAAAAGAAACGGCAACTGGAACAGAGACTCCAGAACAACCAAACTTTGGCTTTTCTCCATTCCAAATGAAGTACTGCTCAAGAACAAACAGGAATAAAACATCAAAGTAGCTCGCTTTTCTTTTCCAACTTAGTGCCCGCCAGATGCGTTTGCTGACAACACTGTGAACTGATAAACTGTTGCAGTCTAACATTCATCGGGAGGTCACCAAGTGGGAGGGAAAGCTGATCATGTCGATGGGAAGCCATTCCTGCACATCCCCGGAGAGTCAGATTGTTTTATTTCTCTGGTATCAGAAAGCAGAACAACTGACCATGGAGACGCATGGGTTTCCAGAGCCTCACCTATGACAGCTGCTTTCCGGACTGGCTGAGGGGCTGCAGTTTTCCAGGATGCACCACTGGGCAACTGCCACTTTTCCACAAGTCTCTGTGCAAAAAAGGCGTATTGTAATGCCTTTGCTTGGCCTGAATTGAAGAGGAACAAAAACATCTCTCTCTCTTTCTTAATTCCTTCTGCAAAGGGCAAGGACATGGAGGCTTGTACAGCTCGGACACACATTTCTGGAGATAGGCACCCAGCTGCCTGTTTCTTCACTTTCCGAAGAGCCTCATCCAGGACAGCTTCCATGTTGGGTAGCGTTGGAGTTTGTCTTAGGCACAGTCTGCGAGGTCCCAATGGCTGATCTACAAAGAGTAGAGGAATCAGGATTAAAAAAGCACTTGGCTTCCAGGCAAACTAAAGATCAGTCCCTATCCTTCTTCTCCAAGGACGTCAAGCTCAGTCTTTCATTCTACGAGAAGGAAGTCCCGCTAATGTTTGGAGAACTGCTTCAAGTTTCAGAAATTACTGTAGATGTTATCTGTTATGTATTAAAGCTGCAACTCTGTGTGCAACTGATAATGGTGATTTCTTAACAGGAGGCAATTTGGCTCCAAAAGTCAAATACAGTGGTTTAAAATCCTAGTAGGATTTGGGCCAAGTTTAATTATTTAAAAATAATTATAAAGAATTATAATTATAAATAAACACAGCTTCTTCCTTACTATTTTAATAAGACCTCCTCCATAGTAAATTTATTTAGAATTACATATTCCTGTCCTCTGAAGATGCCGGCCACAGAGACTGGTGAAACATTAGGAAGAACAACCTTCAGAACACAGCCAAAAAGCCCAAAAAACCCATAACAACCATTAGACCCCAGTCGTGAAAGCCTTCGCAAATACAAGGGATAATTATTTGCCTGAGATATTCATCTGGACTTGGGACTGTTGGAAGATGTTACTGCTCACACTGGCACTTTTCTTGCTTCTTATGAACTGCTGGATAATTCAGTAGTTTAGGCTGTGGAGCCAGAGGTTGAGAATTTGAATCCTCACCGTGCCTCCTTGACAGGGGCTGGACTCGATGATCCACAAGCTTCCTTCCAGCTCTGCAGTTCTGAGATATTATTATATTATTATATTAATTCAGTACTTTAACCTTTGATCTGATGGTTGGAGAAAAAGACTCAACTTTCAAAGTCCTATGCAAACATATCTCTAGTCAACTATCACCTTTCTTCCTTTTGTTGACTCTTTTAAAAGATACTATAGCCATTGGCCTCTCTATAGGGTGTAAATGGAGCTGTAGCCTCCCTTTGAAGTACTCTTTCGGCAAATTTCGGCAGTTGAATGCCAGCCATGTTTGCTTTTTGGGAAACTTGTCTCACACAGACTACTGCTATGAGTAGTCAATGAAGTACTACTGACTTTATGATATGAATAAAATAACTAAGCTAAGTTTTCATTATTTTTCACTGTGGTATTCCTCCTTTCATTAATAAGCCTAGAAAAGATATTCATACAAAAAAGGATACTAACCAGACTTTGAACTGAAAAATAGCACAGTAGCTCCTTTTGTGAACACAAAGAACCATGGAATTCTAATGAAGTGTCATTATTTGCTTCTATGGACACTGGGACTGGAAGCAACATTATATTTCAGGTTTTGGTGCCATCAGGTGGACAGACTGCATAGTGTAGTGATAAAATAGCTGATGTAAAAAGCATTTAGAGGTAAGAGGTTTTTGGCTTTTACTAGTAATGACAGTAATAATTGTGTGCTGTGGAGCATATGGCAAACTTTCTCAGAGTTTTCTAGATATAAAGTGCTCAGAAGTGGTTTGCCGTTCTCTTCTGGGCATGCTCTGTGACCTTGTATCTTACTGAAGGTCACACAGGCAGGCTCTTCTCCCAGGACTAGGTCCTTCAACTCAATGTAAACACAGCTTTAGGAGGAGCCATCTATGGGAGAATCTACTTCAGCTGTCCACAGCTTGCTGCTCAGTGTGCTGAGCTACAACTCCCATACTGTTCCAGCCAGTAGGGCCGCAGGGTTAGAAAGAGAGAGGCTGTAATTCAATACATATGGAAGGTATGCTAGTAGGGAAAAACTTATCTACTTAATCAAACATGCATAGTGAGACATCCCAGAGTGTTCAACAGACTTGATTTGCAGGGACTGTGCACAGGATTTCAGCCTCACTAAAGTCCCACCAAGCTTAACAGGACTTTCATCTAGGTAGAGGTTTATAGGGCTGTACTATTAAACAAATTATATCAGGGCACTGCATCTGAAGAACACTACTATTTAGAAATTTACCATTCTATGTTTGTTTATTTATTCTGGTCACAACCAGGAATAAAACCTCTTGAGTACAAAACTATGTTCAGCCATATGTTAGTAACAACTCTGGAGAAATAACATGAATGAGTTGCACACAAAAAACACAATGTTCAGTTTTTTTTATTCAGGCCTCAGGTGCACCTATAGGGTCTCACTAGTTTTGTCCAATCAATTCACCGCATGTGATTGTCAGTAAAGAAGCAAACGAACAGATATTTATGTAAACTGTTTTTTGCTTTGAATAGCATAAATGTGCCATGTAGCTGTCTTGTACAGCTAAAGATTCTCACCTTTTACTCTTTCTGCTAACTTTATGGCTGCTTCAATTGTATTGTATTCCACAACGTCATCTAGGATACCCAGTTTCAGTGCTTCAGTAGCCGACACGTGTCTTCCTGACAAAAATAAAGAAAATCGTTGAGTTCAAGGTTTGCTTAAACTCCTTCCACTATTTCATCTGGCTCAAGAGTGTTTTGATGGAAGACTTAAGTGACTCTAGAACAGGGATAGGTAAAGTATAGCTTGCATGTGCCTCCAAAAGGGTTTTTGAGGCCCCCATCTTACCAAGGTCCCCAGGCCCCCCACAATAAATGCTCCCCAAATCTCAATTTTGGACCTTAGAGGTCTCAAAGAATAGAGCTTTCTGTGTAAACTGCAAATAAAATGATAAGTGAATGTCCAGATTTTTCTCCCTGGCTTTTTTATATCTTGGAGTTTGTGTGCGCGAGACTTGTAGTGGGTTCTAGGGGGTGGAAATTTGGGTCCCAGACCCTTCTCCCTCCAAATTTTTCCAAACCTTTATTTAGATGGCAACAATTCCTTAATGACTTTTTGAAGCCGCATGCTGAAAATATCAGAGAAAGAGGAAGCCCCAAGCAACACCAAAGCGAAGAGAACAGGAGACTGATGAAGCACCAGAATTCTCAAAACAGGGACTGTACTACTAGTGGCATGCAATCAGTGATGGGGTGTGGGGAACTCACACTACTATTTCAGAATGAGTGATCCTTTGCTTTTGTCTGTGGATTCTATCATGTGCCGAACACCATCAGGTGCACCATGGAAGCAGTTTACTGAAAGAACATGCTACTGGCCAAGGTGCTGTGCTGCTGAATCTTTGCGTCTTGATGCCTGCTAGAAAATTGTTTTCCATCTGTCAATTCAACAGGCATTAAGTGATATAAACAACTAACAGAGCTCAGTTTTGCCTTATACAGTGGCAGACTCTGGCCTGATGTCTCCGTCTTAAAGGTAACATTACTTAGTGACTAACTGAGCTGCTGTTAAATTGCCCAAACTATTTGACAAGCTGCTGGTTTTGAGGGTAGTGTCTGGTTGAGCATATGCACAGTCAGCAACACGCAGTCAATTAAATTATTTTTCTCTCCCTCTCTCTAAAATGTTCAAGGCTTAAAATAACATAGTTTAAAGCCACAACGTCAAACAAAACAAAAAGTGATAACACATTAACAGTCACTATAAACACAAAACAAGAAATCAACCAATCTCTTGACCCACCCATTTCTTAGACTAACATCAATAAGACTTAAGGCTTTCCTGAGAAGTGAAATTTGGCTGCATAATGAACAAGAATGGAGCAATGTTGTCACCTGGGCATCCAGAAGCAGTCCTAAACTACGTAGCTAATTGTTAACGAGGAACACAACTCCATCCAAAAGAGGTTTGATGCCCAATTTCAGATTACCAGAAGTTTAAATCCATCTTCCATGGCTACTGATATGGCTGTAAGCAAAAGTGCTGAACAGGAAAAACTGCTCCATCTCAACCCTTTTATATGTATAAGGAATTGATAGACCCTGGGCCAAACAAATGGTCAGATAACCAAGCCTAGATCGAGCCTGTCATGGGCAGGTCTTTCCTGCTCTTTACTTGAGATACAGTTACCTAGAAATTCCAGTGACTAAAACTAACACTTTACACTTTCAGAGTGTGCATTTGCCAAGTCCTTTCTCTAATGTATTACTAGCAGGGATATTCAATATCTTGCAATGCCTGTGTACCAGAAACTGTTTCTGTACATGACATCTGTCAATGTGCCTTCACACCTAAAATGCTTACCTGTGCTGATGATATCAATTGCAGCTGGTACGCCAATAAGTCTAGGAAGCCGCTGAGTCCCTCCAGCACCTGGAAGTAAGCCTATGGTGACCTCAGGCAGACCTAGCCGAGCCTGGAGTAAATGAAGTAGATGAAAAAAAAAACACTGGGCCAGAAAAGAAAGCAGCCTAGTTCTGTTGCCAAAGGCCTTTCAGGAAAATGCTCTGGACGGGCACAACTACATAGGCATATATCCTGCAAAAAACACAACTCATTTGGGAAAAAACTAGGTCTCAAAAAGATGAACTGCTTCTCCTTCTGCTTAACGTAAAACATAGCTTACTTATTAGTGAATGGTGAATACATTTTAAGCCTAGTGCAATATTTCTGCAAACTTCAATTTCTGAACATGTAGTACAATCTCTGATCTCTGTATTAATGATGATGAGGACTGAGCATCCTTGCTGTGTGACAACAATGATTTTAACTTTTTATTACGCATAAAGAGTTTAGCATTCAGTTTATGCAACATGGAAACAAACAGGTAACAAGGATATCAATAAATGCATATATAACTGGAGCATAACATTGGTGGGAAGGAGAGCCCTCACTGCTCTTTCAGCTGGAAAGTTCTGGAGATGTACCCCAATAGTTTTGTTGGACAACAACTCCTATCATCCTCAGCAAACATAGTTGGGCCATGATGGCTAGACATGATCGGAACCATCGTTCAATACATCCAGAAAGCCTTGAATAGGGGAAAGCTGATCTAAGGGACTACTGTATTTTTGGTTGATTCAAAAAAACCTTACCTTTACATTTGCAATCCTGTAATGACAGCCCAAGGCCACTTCCAGGCCCCCTCCAAAAGCCAGGTCTTCAATAGCAGCAATCATTGGCTTTTCACTCTTCTCTATCAAAGAAACAACTGATTCCAAGCTGGATATCTTTCCCTGGCTAGTAATGTTCTGAAAGCTTCTGATATCAGCACCTAAGGAAAGTGAACAAAACTGTGAGAATCTACCAAAGCTAGGAAAAGTGGTGGATTTTTTACCCCTGAACTTGAGCTCTCTGAGTTCCCAGGCCAATATGGCCAGTGTCCAATCAGGAGCTGGAGAATTCTTGCAGCTGTTATCCAAAAAATAAGATTTAAAAACTTCAAAATCCACCATTACTGCAAGTAACTAACAATATGAATGTGCCTGTCACTTTATTTCTATCCCACCTTTCTCCTAAGGTGACCTTCAATTCGATTAAAAAACAGATTCAGCTAAGAACTTCCAACTCTATTGTTCTATGATTCTAAGGATGCTATAAATTAAGAATACAATTATTAAACAGAACAATTAAGCAGATTATCATATTAAAGGAACAACCCAGAAAAAAACAAGTACAGCAATCTTCCACTGCAACCTGATTGTAGCCTTAATTTAAAAAACAAATCTAAGAACGTGTTTCATAAACTATACACTGACAGAATGTCAGATGTCAAATCAATTCTACCTCAGAAATTTCCTATTGTCAAAATGAAACATTAAAGCATACCCATCAACACTCTGGCTTTGATAATGCATATGCTCAGGTGAATGCATACACATAGAAAAATTAGTCTCATTAAACTGGGAATTCCATTCTGAAGGAAATCAACCCTGAGTGCTCACTGGAAGGACAGGTCCTGAAGCTGAGGCTCCAATACTTTGGCCATCTCATGAGAAGAGAAGACTCCCTGGAAAAGACCCTAATGTTGGGAAAGTGTGAAGGCAAGAGGAGAAGGGGACGCCAGAGGACGAGATGTTTGGACAGTGTCACTGAATTTTATTGATTGATTGATTGATTGAATTTACACCCCACCTATCTAGTCATTTCGACCACACTGAAGCTACCAACATGAATTTGACAAGACTCCAGAAGGCAGTGGAAGACAGGAGGGCCTGGTGTGCTCTGGTCCATGGGGTCACAAAAGTCGGACATGACTTAACGACTAAACAACAAACAACAAAAGAGGGGATGGGCAGACTTCAGAGGTTCATAAGCCATACATACCAATCCCTGGGTCCTGGAAAGCTGTTTCTATTCCTGCACTCTGCTCACCCATGAAATATTTTTCTTCAAAAATGTCTTTTTTAAAATTGCAAGAGCCCCCTGATAATTTCTATTAGCCAATTTTTAAAATGTCCCATTCAAGGATTACCTTTTCCATATTTAGAAAAACATCTTGGCCTCTACTTTAATTAATATTGTAATGCTAGTACAGTTACTATTAATACTAGTACTTAACTAATCATAACTTTTCCAGCCAAATACAAAGAATACAGCAAGACTCTTACCTGCACTAAATTTCCCATTTGCTCCACAAATCACAACAGCTTTCACAGAGGGATTGGAATTTGCCTGGTTCACATCTTGTTCCAAAGCCCGTGTTGCTGTAGGACTACAATAAATCAAACCATCACTTATCCCTTACACTTCAGAAGAATGGGACACTTTAGTCCTTCAATGTCACATTTTGTTGCAGAATCCACACAGAACTAGATCTACAGTGCAGACATTTTACAACACTTTACATTTTTCAAGACTCTTGTAAAGAAGATCCCTAAATTTTAGCCACTTTCCAGGTACAATTTTGAGTTTAGTGGGAAAAAATTGATGAGGCATAAATCAGCCCAATAAAGCTAGTGCATTTTGCCAGATATACTTATTTTTTGCACCTGTCACTGTAACATGTTCACATCAAAATAAACAAACTAAAATTTAAATTTAAAACTGCCCTATGCCGTTTTGCAGGAAACCATGATGTCAAGAAACAGAAATTACAAAGTCTGTTTGTCAAGAGGTTAGTCCCACTCAATGAAGACACTGGGATTCTCAGTGGGCTTAATAATATAAGCCATATATGTTAAACCCTTCCACTGACCGTCATGCTAGCCATGCTGCTAACTGCCAAAAGAGTGGAATTCTCATGAGCTATGGAGATAACTCACAACTTAATGCAAGCTTTTGTTTCAATAGATGAGGTTTAACCTAGGGCTGGGACGTGGTGGCGCTGCGGGTTAAACAGCAGAAGCCTCTGTGCTGTAAGGCAGTGGTTCTTAACCTTTGTTACTCGGATGCTTTTGAACTGCAACTCCCAGAAACCCCAGTCAGGACAGCTGGTGGTGAAGGCTTCTGGGAGTTGCAGTCCAAAACTCCTGAGTAACCCAAGGTTAAGAACCAGTGCTGTAAGATCTATAGATCTGCAGCTGTAAGATCGAACCCACATGACTGAGTGAGTGCCCATCGCTTGTCCCAGCTCCTGCCAACCTAGCGGTTCGAAAGCATGCAAATGCAAGTAGATAAATAGGGACCACCTCGGTGGGCAGGTAACAGTGTTCCATGTCTAAGTCGCACTGGCCATGTGACCTCGGAAGATTGTCTTCGGACAAAATGCTGGCTCTACAGCTTGGAGACAGGGATGAGCACTGCCCCCTAGAGTCGAACACGACTGGACAAATTGTCAAGGGGAACCTTTACCTTTACCTAACCTAGGGCTGCCAATCATTATATCCTCTAAAGGAGTGTCTCAATCATAATTCAAATCATTTATGATATGAGATCTATAAACTAAAACAGTCTAACTTGTAAAGTACAAATTTAGCATGAAGATAGAAATAGCAAACTACCTCCAGAGGGAGCTAAAACAGCAGCAATTACTTCAAATATACATACAAAACAAGGGAAAAAAGCTACTGTATTAGGTTGTCTATTTCAAAGGCAAACAAAAACTATTAACAATACTGTACTCAGATGGTGCAGTCAACTTGACTATCACTGGTTTAAAGAAAGGCTGATGGGAACTTGTATTTCCTGCACATAAGGTACTTACGCTACACAGCATGTATCCAATACAAATTCTACAGAGAGAACATTTTTTGAATGTTGTCTATGCCAGTCTCTTGTAGAAAAGAAGTTTTTGCTATCTGAAAAACTAGCAAATTTATTATGGCATAAGAAAGTCTTGCCCAGCCTGGTGCCTTCCAGATATTTTAGACTCCAATTCTCATCAGCACAGCCAATGAGAATAGAATCCTGAAAATTGTGATGCAGAACATCTGCAAGGCATTTGATAGAGAAGACAGGCATATACTTCTCAGTGCTACAGTTCATCAGAAGTATTAAATGTTGTTCTCTGTGGCAAGTACACTGTACATATGTTTTGGGGATGCAGATGAGAATTGTAAACAGTGGTATAAGAGGGAAATTAAATTGAACATATAGACCATGACAAGTACTGTACTTATTAACACTGGTTATTTGCAAAGCACATTATATCACATAGTGATGTGGTCCACGGTAAACAAGGCTCAGGTAAATTTTGCAGACAGAGGAAAAACACTTTAATCTTATAAACTCTGTTGCTTCATTAAATCCTTGCAACATACACATATGAGAGGAAAAAAATCTCCAAGAAAAGTGCTCATTTGTTTAGTTACATGTTGTACTTTAGAAGCCTTCCCAAGATGCATGTTTGTTCCTGTACTTTCACCCCAAGATTGTTGATGTGGGAGAGTTTGGTTTTGCAATCACGCCTCCACTTAGTTAGGAACCAGTTGCTCACGCACTGAAAATGCTCACTTATAAATGCAAATATTATTAGGAAGAACATGGCTTAAGGGAGCAACCAAATGCATTATTTATGGTTTAAGTCAGTAAGATATCCTTTTAGGTAAACATGCATAGGCTCGGTTGTTAAAATGAACACAAGGAACAACCACTTTCAACAGAATAATGCTAGTAAAAAAAAGTAACCCTTATTGTATTTTTGCAGTCAGTAAAAATTAACCAAATAAACTTAATTCTACCATGATCTCTGGTGGCAATCTAGCTAATAGATTGTGACAGAAATTTTAAATTACAAATCATGTGTGCTAGGAAAAATAAATGAAAGAAATCAAATGGAGGAAATTCCTTCCAGCAGTCTTCTAGCCCAGCGGTCCCCAATCTTTTTGGGACTGTGGACCAAGTGAGCCTCCTAGGAAGGCACCCCTCCACAGGTGCGTGTGCGCTCTCAGGTGCATGCCTGAAGCGGTGGGGAAGCGCCCGCCCACCAGCGCCGGCGTGAGTGTTCCCCCACCCCTTCACGCATGTGCAGGGGCGCCTGCATGCCTGCCCATGTGCCCCTTTGCACGGACACTCAGGCACATGCGTGAAGGGGTGGAGGAGTGCTCACGCCAGGATGCATTTCAGAGAGGATGCGTCTCAGGCTATCCTGTTCAAAGCAGACTTTGATATATGCAAGAGTAAGGTGATACTTTTAGTGAACCACTAAGAAATCATACAAATTGCGAGCTTTGGTGAGTAAATCTCACTTTTTCAGGCTGGTTACCACCCCTTCATGAATAATGCAGAAAAATTGCATGTTAAAGTCTTTAAAATCCATGGCAGATGTCCATGTTGAGTCTGTTCATATGTGAATTTAGAGCTGGATACTGTATTAAAGTCAGCTTTTCAGCATCCTCCCTTGTATGCATGGCTGACGTTTTCCATCCCAAACAAAGGGCTTGCTAATTACTCTTGTGACATACTGATATTGTACAGTATATGTATTAGACTTCACTGGAGAAGCCCTTCCTGCCACAGGAGAGGATAATTGGCATTAGGAGATGAAGTCCCATTAAGGAAGCAATCCATTAGCCTGAGGACACTTGAAAGGGTTACTATAATCAAGGCATCTGTAACAACAAGCTTTGTTCTGTATAAAGACAACTGTGAGAAGCAGGCAGGGGAAGGACATAGCATCCTCACATTAGAGCCACCTAAGACTTTAGGGAACAGGTGTGCTTATATGAGTTGGCTTAATTCAGGTAATAGGAATAAGTAAAAAGGGCTAGGTTAGCTAGAAGGTTGTTATTTTCTTAATTGTGTATCTTCTCTGAGATAATCCAAAATTAGTTTTGTAACTTTCTGTAGCCTTGTTCTATTTTCCCCAAGGATGTTTTGAGTAGCTTTCACTTTTTAACTTTTTGTTTCAGTATCATCCCCAGCTCTGTGGTGTGGTGCCCAGCCTGCTGAAAACTTGTGCGAGGTTGAAAGCTAGCTTGTGTTTGTGATTTTCTAGTGATCTAATAAAGGTATCGCCCACCTTTTCCTTCAGATATGTACAAAGACCACACAACTTTGTTTCTTTCTTGTGCATACCCGAAATTCTGTGGGACACTTGATGCATTATGGGCCATAGTCCATAAAAGTTCATACTACAATAGCCAAAATCCTGTTGTGTAGTTACATTATCAGGAGGGAAATTCTATAATTCGCAGTGACACATTGTTGCTAATAAATGAGAACCTAACTGGATTCCTCATTGTGTGCTGCTGAAGTTGCTTGGTGCCCAGGCAGGAATGCAAGTGGGAACTTTTATTAGCAGCATGCTGTTACTGCACATTATGCCATTTTCTCTCTGCCAGAGTAAGTATGCAACAGGAATTTGGCTGTTATAATTGCTAGTTTTTAAAATACATGACTCTTCACAGTTTTTGCTGCACTAAGCTCACATTTTGGAAATAATTTTTATTAAAAATAAGGTTGGAATTCACATTGAACATAACTTTTGAAATATGAAATAAAAACCCATCTCCTTTAATAAGATATCATTCAGTATATTATAATAAAATTATTGTTGTTGTTATGTGTTAACAAGTGGCTTGTAAAGGCTCATGAATCAGCAATAATCAAATGTTTATATAATTAATAGCCCTCCACAAACTGAGGGTTTTCTTTCCTGAGGAACAGCTGGCTCAACCTAAGAGTGTCCAAAGTCCTAAGAGCAGGAGATTTTGTATTTAAATATTAACTAATACTCAACCCATGACCAACTTTTTTATCTGTAGAATCTTTGCCAAATCCACCTAAATAGGTTTACTATTAAAAGTGGAAATCACCTAATTTCATTCCTATTCTAGATTCGTAAGAAACTGCATATCTAATCTGAAAGTGTGAACAAGGCAAACGTAGTGGCAGGCTGGATTACTGCTTTTCCTCACTAGCCTCCCTAGTTTTTGTAACCTAACATCATGTAACATAAACTGAGCTAGTTCACTGAAAAGGCCTGATAGAAATGCCTCCAGCAAGCACAGCTGCATGGGTTGTATTCATTCACATGTCCCACCACCCTCTCTTCCAGCAGTTCTAGATTTCCCAGCAACGGGTGGATGTTTCTGAAGTTTCCTGTTGTTACGCCTCTGCTCTGAGCACTGGGAGTGAAGCGGGAGGCAAAGTCACAGGGCTCACTTTCAGTTCCAACTCCTTTGACCGCCCCATGCGTGCTTGAACGCTTAAGCTGGATAACTCTGTAAACAAGTGCATCCTCGGTTACGATGCAGTCCTTTCCCCAAACCCCAGAGCCCTGGCCTCACCCTGGCTTGTGCGTCCTTGGCAACGCAGAAGTGCAGACAAAGCAGGCAGAAAGCGGCTCGCCTACCTTCCAGAGCCAGGGGGAAATCCTTTGGGAACCACAACTCCCAGGACCTCCCGGGGGCTATGCCGAGCGGGTTCCAGGAAGTGTAGCCAAAAAAAAGAATACTGTAACTTTTGCGAACTCAGCTGTAAGCTTATGCACGTATGGGTGAACTAAATCTCCCTGAATCCAAGTCAGGTTGCCAGAAGAGCGAAACCATGGGACTTACTCCCGAGTAACTACACGTAGACAACAAGTGTTACTACTCTGAGGGAGCGGAGGCGGCGCCTGGTTTACCGCACCGCAGAATCGGGTTTGGTGGACTAATCCTGCAAAGACGTTCCCTACCCAGCACGACGGGCTTTCCCTTGCAACTAATTACCTGAAGGTGTTGAGGGGAGGGTTACAGATCTTTATCACCGCCACCGAAGCCGGTCTCCGCAGGTACTGCGCCATGGTTCCTCGGAAGGCCCCCCCCTGTCTGAGCGCCAGCCCCTCGAGCGCTCCAAGTGTGAAGGCAGCCCAAGGGAGCTGTTCCCTTGTTCTCGAGATCTGTGGGAACAAGACCAACCGGACGGGGCGGACTCTACCTCCCGCGTCGTCGAGAAAGGTGCCAACTGGGGCGGAAGGACATGAATGCAGAGCCTGCTCGGGCGCCGAAGAGATACTATAGTATTAGCACGCTGAGGAAGTAAAGGACTCCAGAATGAGTGCCGTTTAAACTAAGATTCATTTCACACTCTAGGATCTAATGAGAGAGCTTTCGAAACAGAATTGCTGTAATGCTAAACATGAGATTCCCAGGCTGAAAGACACCCAGCCAGCTACTGGAGAAGAGAAGAGGCCAAGTACGGCTAGTATTGTCGCCTAGGAGGCAAGGAGATTAAAGCTGAATGGATGTCTAGTGGCTAACGTGCACTGAGGCAAAAGCACAGTCAATTGCTGCGCAACACATGCATTTCCAACATGGAATGTGAGAATGATGAAACCATGTAAACTCAAAAATATAAAGCAAGAAATTGAGCGTTTAAGCACTGTAGTACATATAATGAGGAAACTAAAGTGAACAGGAATAGGGATAATTTCAGGCTGAAAATTACAAAGTATGGCAATTAGAAAATCAGAAGAAATGTGTGGCTCTAATAATTAGGCAGGATTCCCAGTGTGGTGTGTAATGGATAGAGTGATGGAGTAAGACTCTAAAGTACAGGGTCTGAATCTCTGCTCAGATAAGGAAATTTACTGGGGGAGTCAAACTGTTAAAACCACTCCTTAAATGTCTTACCTGTAAAGCCCTATAAGATGGTTCTGACTTGATGACACAGAACACAAGATGTAGCCCAAGCAATTAGGGGCTATAATATGTAACCAAATAACATCAATCAAATTTCTTGGAAATTTGTCAACAGAACCATCACTCAATTCTATGCAATAATCACAGCTACTGAAAATTTTATGTGTCCAGGAAAAAAATGATCAAATACCAAAACAGGATGGGCTGATAATCTTAGGTAACTGGGACACAAAAGCAGGAAATGTTAGAAAAATTGTTAGAAAATTTGGCCTAAGAGTCAGAAACAAAATGGGAGAATTCTGTGAAGCCAACAACTGTGTTGTTTTTTTTTGTAAATACATGCTCCAGATTCATTGACATCACCAGGTGACTGTACTTAGGAGGTGGAGAAGCTGTACTTTCTCTGGCAAAATGAGACCAGGAGAAGAATGTGCTACTGTCTGTGAACTGTTACAGTAAGATAAAAAATGGAGTAAAGCTGGAGAGGAACTCAAAAACAATAATTGTGCCAAAGTATGAGTTAAATAAATTTTCTGGTGAATTTAAAGTTCACATGAAGACTAGATGTGAATCTGACTGTGTAGCAAAAGCAAAGCAAAGTGTGCTGCTTGTATATTGCCCCATAGTGCTTCAACCACTCTCTGGGCGGTTTACAAGTTAATTATGCAGGCTACAACATTGCCCCCCCCCCCAGTGAGCTGGGTACTCATTTTACCAACCTCGGAAGGATAGAAGGCTGAGTCAACCTTGAGCCGGCTACCTGGGATTGAACCCCAGGTCGTGAGCAGTTTTCGCTGTAGTATAGCAGTTTATTTTTTATCCTGGTTAAATAATATATTCCCCTGTTAACCCCCTGTCCAGATGGCTGGACAGTGTCTGCGAAGCTACCAACATGAATTTGACACAACTCCGGGAGGCAGTGGAAGATAGGAGGGCCTGGCGTGCTCTGGTCCATGGGGTCACAAAGAGTCGGACGCGACTAAACGACTAAACGAATGAACAGCAGTTTAACCACTGTGCCACGCAGAAGAACTGTGGGTCACGAAGAGTCGGACGCAACTAAACGAACGAACAGCAGTTTAACCACTGCACCACGCAGAAGAACTGTAGATTGAAACCAGACATGCTATTACGGAAGAATGGAAGAAGTCAATTTCTGTTGTCAAAAGAAAGGAAACCTATACATGTGACTCATGAAAATTTCTTAAGAATGAACAGATAAGAAGCAAAAGTAAGAAGAGATGGATATAGGGTCAGATCCTAAATGCAGCCTTTCAGTAACTGTCACAATCTGTGCAAAGGAACAACAAAGAATAAAAATAAGATATATCTTCCATAAAATCCAAGAAATCAAAGGACATTTAAGACTAGAATAAGGAGTCTGAAAGGTTAACAGGGGAATATATTATTTAACCAGGATAAAATATAAAGATGAAAGCAATATACTGAAGAACTATATAGAAGAGGGGCAGGGATGACAAGTACTTCTAAAGAAGATTCTTACGATAATGAAGCTGCAGATTTACAAAGTGGGGTGAAAACTGTTCTCAAAGTGCTTGAAATAAATCAGCAGGGATATGTGGGATTTCTATAGTACTATTTCAAGCTTTATAGATTGAATATTAAAATCCTAACAAGAATGTGAACAAGTATGAAAAACAAATCAACTGCCCTAGACTGGAAATGCTCAGTATTGTATACATTCCAGCTCCTCCAAGCCTTTGTATGGATTTCTTTTACAACCCAGTGAGACTTTTACAATTAAAATAAGACATTTCACGAGGGGCACATGAGCCTCTCTAGATGTTGTTGGACTACAGCTCTTACTGTTAACTCTGAGTACAGCTATACAGCAGCAAAAATACAGTTTGATCCACTATGATTCACAGTTTAGCATATTGTGTTTCTGCAGATGAAATCACTATAGTTTCCAGATGACAGTTTAAAGGAATTGGTAGGGGCAGAAGCAGAGAGCTCAGTTTGATTGCAGCTCCAATAGCAGAAGCTGTCTTAAGGTGCTTATTGGCCAGTTTTGCCTCTCTCTCTCTCTCTTTTATTTTGTTCTCTTAAGTGCCCTAGCAATACTGTGTTTCAGTGCCAAGTTGAAATTTTTCATTTATTTAAAGAAACTATTTGGAGACAAAGAGCACTTGGTTGGAGGGAATTGAGATACCCTGCAAGTGTCCCTTTGCAGGCAATCACAATGCACAGAAAGTAGATAAAAGTGATGTCAACCTGATTGGAACAAATTTAAACTCCTCCTGCCCCCTCCCCAGTGCTTCTCTGCTCAAAGGAGAGTATTTCACAAGATTGAGCTTTATGTTGTGTAGCTGCCAGACTTTAATTTGAATTCATTGATGTCCAATCTAATGCAAACATGTTGGTGGTGAATGACCGATGTAGTATTTGGTGTTTAGTCTTGTGCTATGTTAAGTGTTTTCTCCTCTAATATAGACACACTTAGAGTGGATTTGATCTAACTTGCTGTAGAGGCCTGTTCCTCAGACATCTTTAACTAACCAATCCCCAAGGGGCAATAAGAAATTGAGTCGGGAGGTCTGGAAAATATTACTTTAATCACCTGAACAAAGCAACGGGCAGACAGTCTCTTTTGAAATTACTATGCTTACAGACAAGTAATCCCCCTTTTTATACCCTTATAAAAACAGTATAAACAGTTATACCATCCCCCTCTTCTGCCTCCCATTCTCCTGGCCCTTCCTTCTGTCAATCACATTGTTACAATCTCCTGATCATGAGTTGGCAGTTGCTCACCACCCCCTCCCAGTCCTGTTTGCACATACATAATCCATCATGGAGTCACTTTGGTTCCCTTCACTGCAAAATAGGAGTGGTCAACATGTGGCTGCTTAGATCCTGTTGTGCTGCAAAGCCATCAATTGTCACCATTTTGCTATGGTTGATGAGAACTGCAGTCCATCAGCAATGGAGAGGAACAAGTTACAGAGATGGTATATTACTTTCAATATCTAAATTGGAAGGGGGAAAGATAGCTCAGCTTTGTTGGAAGTGACTGTAACTCAGTTTATACTGTAAAAATGTGTGTCTTTGCACAGGGAGGAATAGACGGGGAAAGAAGAACCACTTCTGAGTTCCTAGACTGTCTTTTACCTACCCTAAGCAAGGCAAACTTTCATTCAGCCTGGACTGAGGTTTGCTAATGTAACTCCATTCTTACATTTCTTTCTTGATCCTCTCTGGGGGAGGACATGCGTTTTTTTCCTTTCCAGGTGAGGGACAATTATTGATTCCCTGCCTCTTGTACTAGGATTCCTATTATCTTTGCCATCTCAATACAGTACAGTATATTTTTGTAAAAATACTAGGTTCCTTATTTTGCTAAAAATAAAACTTAGCTGCTGCTTGCTCTGCTAGCAACTGAAATATAGTAACTCTGAAAATCAACACTAAAAAAGAGAAAATTAAAGAGAAAACGAACCCAGGATTGTAGCCTTAATCTGACCCAACTTGGCCTTTTGTCATTCCAGTCGTTCTTCTTTGAGATGCAGACAGAGGCACTATAGCGCAGCTAACAACTGATAGCATGAAAACTAAGGCAGGATCTTTTTTTTTTAAGGGCGGTAAAAACACTGATGTTCAATCATTTGAGAATTAGTTCAACATTCGAAGTATATGAAGTTTAAAGAACCACTGAGTCTCTTTCTTTCCATTTACGATATTTAAGTGTCATATAAATTCATAATAGTGGTTCTTGAAAATAAAAAACAGGAGACATTTTTCATTCAAATGACAGTCCATCCAATATCACAGTAGTCCTAAACACGATTTACATAAAACACGCATTAAGCCTCATCCTAAAGAAGCCCATTTATATAAGACGCCCAGCGCGCAGACGGCTTCCGCAGGCGTCGTGGAGCCGGAAGTTAGTCTTATCCAGGGCGAGCTTCAGGCCAGGCGGAGGCGATTTGCCTTTCTTGTCAGGTGATGCCGGAACTGACGCAATATTGACGGCCCGGCAGGTGGAAGGAGGACCAATGGCCGCTGGTGGATTCCGGACGGCGGCAGAGCGGTAAGGCGGCACGGGAGCCTCGAGGGGAACAATGGGAGGAGGGGGGCATTGTTGTTTTGTTTTTATGTTGCAGTTGAGACACGAACCGTTTTTGTTGTTGTTGTTGTTGTTGTGGGCGGGGGAATTTTTATCTTCTTTATTGGACAGGCGCCTGTTATTCGCAGCATTTCCTCGTCCGGGGAACGCCGGGTCGGGGACTCCTGCGCTTTGCTGTGCCTGGTTGGTGGGGAGAATCTCTTCACCTTTGCCACGGATACCTGGCTGCCTAATAGAGATAAGGCC